TTATTTTAGGACAGCAAATATTGAAAGAAGGTGATGGTAAAAGTAATATTTTTGAAACAGTTCGTTATATTTGTGACAAATATGGCGCCGAGTTAAATGTACTGCACACTAATGCTAGTCAAGTAGCAGCTTACGATTTAGGTTTTAAGCCCTCTACCGAACGAACTCCCCTTGCTAAATCTGATGAACCCTCTCTCCTGTGGTTAATTGGTGTTGATGATGAAAACCTAGACTTAGGAAGCAATCCATTTATCATATACCAAGGACATAATGGAGATATTTGTGCAAACAAAGCTGATCTTGTTTTACCAGGAGCCGCTTTTACCGAAAAACAAGTAACCTATGTGAATATGGAAGGTCGAGTACAGCAAACATTAGCAGCAATCACCCCACCCGTAATGTCTCGTGAAGATTGGAAAATAGTTCGTGCATGTGGAGAGATTGCCGGGCATCTTCTACCCTATGACACACTCATCGATATTAGAGGTCGAATGGCTCAATTGGCACCTCATCTTGTTCAACATGATTATAGAAAATTAAATTTACCCTCTTCACCGAGTCCACCAAAAGCAACACAATATCGCAAAAGCGATAAACCCATCAATTTAATGCCCAAACTGAGAAACTTAATAGATTATTATCAAACTGATTCCATCTCAAGATCATCTCCTACAATGGCAAAATGTATTGCTGCTGTACAAAAAGAGTACGAGAAACGTTCCTCTAAATGGTAAACGTGAAAAAGAAATTACGATAATTTGCAATCAAATTTGAATTGCAAAGTAAAATGATTAAATTGAATTCACTTTTGTTCGGTTGTATCAATAGATTGTATGCCAATTGTAAAATAAATATCTTCCCGATCTTATGTTTACATCATCTGCCACTTTCTCAAATAGGAATGTGTCTATCAGCCAAATTGGTGCCTTTTATGACTCTTTTATAATTATTGCATAGAGTTGAACAAGTTTTTGATTTTAATGAAACCTTTCCTTGCAGTTAATTCAAATCGAACCCCTGGATTTATTAAAGACTGGGAACTGAGAATAGACATATTAGCTGCCATCAAGGAGAGTCAAACCTTAAAAATGTTAGCTAATTTTCACAGATGATTGCTGAGGTCATTGCTAGTGATATTCAGTGTATCAATATGACACGGCAGTGTAACAGTTATACAACTTTTATTTTTGTTTTTTCGTGCCACATTCGGATTTGCTAGATATAAATCCATCTGGCCACTTTCATCAAAGTACAAGAACAAGTTTATTCGGATTAACGTTAAAAGTATTGCAATACACTGCGTTGCATGGCATTAAGGACAGTATGCAATTTAATGATGAAGGTTTAAATATTGAAAAATATTTAGTTTTTGTTTGATAATATGATGAAGTTAGACGTTAAAAATTATTATTAAGATAATCAAATTAATTATCTGTTAGGTTTTAAGTTTAATCTAAAAAACAATAATTTTGAACGAAATTTGCTGATGCACGGTATTAAGGACACTTTTCAATTTTGATATTTATTTCATTAATAATGTTTGCTACCACCATTTTTTGCAATCACCTCGACTAATCTATCTTTCATAGACAATATACAATTTTGAATCATTAATTGATCGATGTTATTCCACTCTTTTACGATCGATTCCTTGAGTTCGTCAATCGAATGGTATTGACGACCTTTACCGTAAATATTCCTAGCTAGAATCGCCCATACATTCTCAATTGGGTTCAAATCAGGTGATCTAGCTGGCCAGTGCAAAAGTTTAATGCCTTTGCTCGAAATCCAATCTTTAGTAGCTTTTGATGCATGAATACTAGCATTATCTTGTTGAAAGATCGGGTCGACACCACAGATTTCGTACAAACACGGTACCATGAATCTATCAAGAATATCGATGTACCCTTCAGAATTAACTGTTTTTGGACAAAATGCAGCTTCGGTTGTTCCATTGAATGCAATTCCTGCCCAAATCATAACACCACCTCCACCAAATTGACGTTTTGAAAATTGGATTTCAGTGGCGTTCAAATTCCTCCAATGGCACTTGTATCCATCAGGGCCATCCAAGTTGAACCTTTTTTCATCACTGAACATCACTTTAAACCATTTGTCTCCATAATCAATATGTTGCTTTGCAAACTCCAATCTTTCTTTCTTGTGTTCATCAGAAAGCGGCGGTTTCGTATTCGGTTTGCGAAAATCGACGTTTTCAGCTCGTAATGCAGCTCGGTAAACGGTTGTTCGATGGCATTCAGTACCAATTTCCTTTGCCACTTCAGCACATGACATTTTATCGTTAGTCAATAACCGAAGTACCTGTCGATTATCACGATCACTCAATTTAAACGCAGGTCCTTTCCGATTTGTTTGGCTGTATTGATCAGGATTTTTGATCACATTATCAACAGCACTTTTTGATCGTCCTACCTTCTCAGCAATCACTCTAATTGATAATCCCTGGTCACGGTAAGCAATTATCTGACCTATTTCACGTTCGGTTAAGTCTTTGCCTTTACCCATTGCACAAGTTAATCAATATAAAAATACTTCAAAATAATTATCAAACTAGGTTCGAAGAACTTATATCTAACGCTAACAATACAAAAATAACCAAAAAATAACTTAAAAGCTCATATTTATCGCCAAAAAAACAAGTGTCCTTAATCCCATGCATCACCAAAATATGGTCAACACATGTCAATTAGTGATCAACAAATAATTAAGACAAAAGTACCAACAATAACCTCTTCTAACACTCAGAACACTTGCTAGGATTAGCTTAAAGCATCGAAAGTACCCTAAATTTGATTAAATTTGACCATTTCAGTCAAAACATATGTGTCCTTAATGCCATGCAACGCAGTGTATTTCATTAGGTATTCTCATTGTATGATTAACTGCATGCATAAGTTTTCGATGAAATCGCTTTCAAAGTTCAAACTTGAATTTCCTTTTATTCAACTGTAGCACCAGATTTTATTTTATTTAGTTTATCACATTGACGATGGTTTTCATCAAGAATTTGAGCCTTTAAATATGGGTTGAATTTATTGTATACAGTGGAAAGAAATTTACGATCAGTCATGATCAGGGGCTTAGATTGTTTCCATAAAAGTATTTTAATTTAAAATTGACAATAGGTTAAAGACGCTTTTATCAACAATCATCGCTATTTAATTTTTATTAAAATACTGATTTTCTAGTCAGAAATTTTAATCACCACGAAAAGAACAAAGATTTGTTTCGAGACAACTCGTCCAATGAAAACATTATACAGCTGATCGTATCAAAGTGTTGAATTGCTGATTAGTAAAAACTTTTATTTATTAACTCTTGTAGTTTTGCAGGTCTCAATAGCTGCAACCAAACTAGATTGATTCAAACAATTAGCACAGGTATAGCCATTGCCTGGCATCACAACTACCCCAATTTCGTGGATACTCATTCTCAATGTTACAATATTTCTTGGTAATATGAGTTCTGTTGATGAAACAAAGCGATTAAGGATAATTAGTAGAGTTTAAATTATGAGTAGTTATATTTCAGGAAGACAACTCACTGGTTTGGTGTAGTTTCAGTCAAGTAAGCAGTCTGAAAGTTAACATCGTCAGCATACGAAGAATCCATGCTTTCCCATTGAAAAGACATCTGAGTGACTTGACTGAATGGCATATCTGATTTTATCGTAAAATTGTGCGATGCAGGACCTGCAAAGATTGTACTGTGAAAATGACAGTTAGTAAATAGCATGAACATGAATAATCTGAATGGCTTACGCTTCGCTCAATTGATGTTTCGCATCAGAAACCGCTCCAATTGAAATATCTTTAAGTAACCAAACGGACAAGCGGAATGGACCAACTTGGGAATTCATTTCTCCGATTTCAAGGCCAATTGAATAAGTGTGTTCAATACCATCTGAACGAATACACGGAATCAAAGTAATTAGAAAACAAGTAACTAAATAAACATAATGAATAAGGTTCTAAGCTTTACCATGTTCATAATAGAAAGGCCAAAGTGGGTTAGCAAGTATAGTTGAACAAAAAGCAAATAAAACAAAAATTACAGCCTTTGCCATAATTTCAAGCTTATTAGACACTGAATAAGTAAAAATTCACAATGATTTAATCAATAGAAGCGTATTATTTTCAAATGAGAAGTCATCTAAATCTTCATTGAAACGATATTTTATATGATACGAAATCTTGATATCAAATATTGTTATGTTCACAGTCACATTCAAAATGAGTCACGCATTTTTTTGCGATTTGATTTGTTGAGTGAATTGTATTGGAAGATCATTTCTATCGTCGATAAAATCGGATTATCAGAAAAAAAACAATTCATTAATCTTTCTCCTTTCTATTTTCAATCCAATTTTATCTTTATTAGCTCATTAACTTATCATTTCCAAGGATTATGTAGTGTTATCATTATTGAAAAATTCCATGCAATTTCATTTTCATGGTTGACCCATTGCAAAAAGATCAATATTATTACCTACGCTATGCATGTGATGCTTGGTTTTGATTGATTGATTGAACCGACAACAACATCGCTAGTATCACTTTTTTGCAAACAATTGTTATTGCATTTATCGAAGGTCATTTACGAAGGTATGTATGAAAAAAAAGTGCCAAAATCAAGAAAACTGGCGAACAGTTGTTAAACCTATTCAATCCATGACGCGAATCCACAATTTTTTTGGACAAATAATAAGTTTCAGCCCTTTAACTCTTTTCTATTTCTCAATAATAACTGAATTTAATTAAAAAATTAGCAACACGTGGTTCTGTACAATTATTCAAAAATTGTTCACTTCTTGCATCTTGCAGTGAACTTGAGCAGTTACCATTATTGATACAGTGATCATTGATGTGAGTGATCATGCATCTCAACAAACTCACATTATTAATTTCCAAGCTTTACTGTGAAATCAATCTGTGAAACTATTATTAATAATATACAGCGAATTAAAAATGATCTACAAAATGGATAACAGTTTTGATATATCGAGTATTTTCATGGTAATTGTCAACAAAAATAACAAAAAGTTTCTCTATTTTTTATTGGCATTCATTATGTTAACATCAACATCAATTGGAACAATTATCATGTACAATGCCTATCAAAACATTCTGATTGCTGAGACTTTGCGTGGAAAAAATATTTGTGTTTTGCAGTTTTTAGTTGGAATTTGTTCAGTCTTGGCAAACTTTTTCCTGGTATTTGTATGTGATTGGAAAAGATGCGTTGAATTTATCAAAATTTGGTCTCAAACTGGTCTACAAGAGGACCAAGAGATTATCAATTACATCAAAAGTGAACGTAAAAAGTATCGTCTCATCCTTTTGGCAATTGATGTACTTTTTACAATCACAGCTGTTTTATTCAATCACCTACAAGATCAAAAACTGACACAAACCAACGCGAATCAATACATTGCAAATATTTGCCTAAGTTTCATTTACGCACTTCTATTCAATTTAGTTAATGATTTTCCTTTACAATTTTCACTCATCATTTGCGCCGTCTTTGTTCGAGGTGAATCAACGACTCGAGCATCTGATTGAACATCCCGATTCAATTGATGACAACATTAAATCGATTCGTTGACGCCACCTGTGTGGTTCACAATTGACTCTAAAAGCTGACCAATTCCTTCGCTACTTTACAGCAGTCAATCATTTCATCATGATTTCATTCATGTGATTAATCTTTATAGCATCATTTACCTGTCGGAATCATTGACTGACTATTTAGCTGGAATTGGTTTACAAGTTGTTGTCATCTTAGTGACTGCAATCTTTGTTTATTATGCAATTAAAATAAATCATTTGGCCTCAAAGGGCTTTCAACATGCATATCAGTTGACTTTTAATGCCAACAGTCCAAATCACTTTGCAGAGGTAAGCTTGTTTATATACCGTAATGATAAATAAATGATAATGATTAATTGATTGAAAAGCAAGATGAAAATATTATTAATAATTTCACCTTTTACTTTGACTTTGTTAATAACTATTCGGATGGTTGATCAATATCCTAGACTAGCATAAAAAAATTGATTTCAATTGATTAAAGCAAGAAAAGTCAACATTACTAAAGGTGTTTACTTTATTAGCTGTTAATAACAATGTTGATGCATAATGACAATATGATAAAACTGGTTTAATGCTTATAAACACCAAGTTTATTAAAGTCATGATATTGTCAAATAAAATATGTGTTGATTGGTTGGATCAATTAAAAGCCATTATTCATAAATTCAGTCATAAAACCTGGTTGATCAACTGTGATTTGTGCTTGAAACATTGTTTAATTGTATTTTTAAATTGTTTTTCAGACTTCATTGCTCATATACAGAATGGGCCGTAATGATATTGGATTGACATTTGCTAATTTATTCACCATCTCAGCATCGTTTATCACTTCTCTCATTACTCTTTGTATAACATTCATTTTGGCCTTTCCAACGATTCAATTCTCAAGATAACATCCTGGTTAACAACACTCTCATGATTTTGGTTGATTGTAACTTTTAGCATGTTATAATTTCCCTTTATTGTTTTATTTAAATGCTGTAATATCACTAACTGGAGTTTATCATTCATTCAATGTTCTTGTCACTGAATACTATCTTTGGATTCCCTTTATTCGAATAAATTACTTCTTTTGAAATAAAATTCTTATATGTATTATTATTATATTATAATAACTACTAATATTATCAATAACGAAAATATTGCACATCTTTTAAGCCTTTATTCCTGACGATTTATTTAGTCCTGACAGTTCATCACAAAACTGTTCTCATTGGTGGTGAATAAAACTCGCAGACATTTCTCTAACATGAAACAAATATTCAAAAGGCATGTTGTTTTTACCAGTCTATGGACCACATGTGACTCGACGAAGTAAATTTACAGCGATAACGGAACCAATGCGTTGAGCTTCGTAGAGAAAAGCCATTGTGAAAGGCATTCGATTCCTATCCGTATAAACA